ATTCCCAAGTCAGGACTTGGAAGAAGCAAATGTGAAGGGGCAAATCTCTGCCTGGAGCAGCAAGCAAAGAGCGGCACGTTGTTGTCCTGGCCCAGAAGCTCCACGCGAGGCAGAGTTATTATTAGCATCATCATTTGCTTTCTCCTTGGCTCCAGGTGCCCTGCACATGGCCTCTGCCTGGCTGCAGCACAGCAGAACTGTGGGAAAGACAGATCTGGCCCTTGTTGGGTGCTTTTTCCCCATTGTCTAAAGGGAGAAGGGCTGTGAGGATGCTGCCTTGTCCTCAGGTTTCCAGGGCTGTGACAGATGGGGAGAGCACCCCAGAATGACACAGGAAATGGTTATTTACTCACATTTCATTCTGTAACTGCCTTCATTGGTGAATGCTTGTTGTATTGCCCATTATTCTGGGAGGGAAGTCTTTTTGACCCTCAGAAATCCCATGCTAGGACTCACATTTATCTGGTCTGGGGATAGATGCTGACCCTCTGGCCCGTGCTTGCAATCAATGCTAGCAAACACTCTTTGAGCCAGCACAGTGTGCTGCTGATGGACAAGATACTGAGGAGGAATCCTATTTTACATATTTTACCTGTTATATGTACAGAATGACACAGTTATTATATAGGGTGTTACGTGTGTGCATGAGTAGGTATGTAAGCAGGACAATTACATTGGTCAATATCAAATAGTAATCAAATTATAATAAATCAAATTGCAAAAAATCGCAGCCTGCTCCCAGATACTTCATGAACTGAAAAAGCCTAGAGTCATCAAATGAGTGTGTTGGCTTTGCTTTTTTTTTTTCTGCTCTGTGTTTCTGGTATTATGTGAACTGCTGAGTAGTATCTGTGTGCGCTCCTCTACCTACCTGGCAAAATTAGATTAAATTATGTGTCATAGACACTGTGCTATTAAACAGCAATGGTGATTCTCCTGCAGCACATAGCTCTTCAGCAGAACAGATGCCTCAGCTGGGAGAGGATTAAGAGTAGCTGGGTTCTGCTCCCAGTTTCTCTCTGAAGATCAGACTGAGCACAGCAGGGTGACTGAGCAGGGTGAGTAGGGCGGCACAAGAGTTTGCTCATGGTGGGGTTTAACATCCTTGGCGGTTCCATGTGAGTCAGGATGAGCTTATTCTTACAGCAGGGGAGTGTGATGAATTGTGTTCTCTTAGCACTGAAAGTGGCCAAGTGGGGAATTTAAACTTCTTAGCTGTGTGTGATAGACCTAGCCAGGGAACAGCTGGTGGAGAGACTCTTTTAGCTCTAGGAGTAACAGCTTGTGTACTTGGGGGTGCAATAGGATTAGATAGCAATTTCCATCCATTTCGAAATAACCTTGCTCAAGAGGGTCAGGAATCTGGAGATGTAGGAACCCATAGCTCCCTACTTGTTACATTATGTTCTAATTAAAAAAAAAAAAAAAGCTTTTGGAATCAAATTTGCCCTGAATATAACTGCATTGGCTCCTGCGTTCTTACACTAGGGATTAATTTGGCCCTTTCTACTTTTATGTAATGAGCTGATTGCCATAGTATCTTATCCTTGTTACACAATCACCCTTGTCTGGCTGTGTCCCTGGAGCATTCTGCATGTGTTTCTAGATCTAGGGTCTCACCTTCACTGACTGTGTGTTTAGCCCTAGAGCCTCCCCCTGACTCACACTGATAGAGTGTGTGTGCACACTCACTCCAGCTTCAAACAGCAGACAAGAATATATCTGTGGGAATTGAGGGGCTTTCTCCTTTGGCTGGCTGTGTCCCCATGGTGTTTCCTTCTGCAGGGGATAGGGAAAAAGTGAATGGTGCTACCAGAGATCTCATTTAAACAAGAAGGAGCATAGGAAAATACATTCTTTATTATTATTCTGTAACAACAAGCCAGAAATATAATATACCTTTAAAAATGTTCTGTCTCATGCCAAAGAAACCTCCATTCAATCATTTTAGAAAATCTTGTCGCTCTCCGTCAAACGGTAACAAAAAAGAAAAAAGGAATGACAAGTGCCATCTGTTCCCTGCAAGGGATGTGCCTGTCCGTCCCACAGGTGGGTGTGTGGGGAAGGGGAGCAGGAGGGCTGTTCCTGGTGGCCCTACATGTGAGGGACCTGCCGGCCCCAGAAGACCCTTTCCTGAGGGCAGGCACCCACACGTGTCCCTGGAGCAGCTGCCTGCAGCAAAGGGTGCATCCAGGGGGATCCCCCCAAGCCTGCAGCTCCCCACACACCAGCAGCCCGGTCACACCAGGGCAGCCTGATCTCCAGGTGTGCTGGGGAGAGGAGAGACAGCCCATTTGGAAGTGGTGCCGTGAAGAGGGCACTTCCCCCTGAGCCCTGCTGCTCTTCTCCGCACGCAAAAGGACAGGTCCTCATCCTGCCAAACAGAGTATTTGCTTTCCAGAGGGACTCCTCATAGCCAGCCTTCGTGTTTCCCAGCAACACTCAGCTCTCCCCTTTCCTGTCTTCTCCTTTCCTGGGTGGCTTTCTAAACATAGCAGTCCCTTGTCTAGGGTTGAGATAAATCCAGACTTTCTGTCGTATAAATTAAAACAAAAAAAAAAGGAAAGGATGGGCAAGGTCATCACCAGCCCCACAACACAGAATATAGAAAATGTTATTAGCAACAAATTAAAATTGGTCAGGGCAGGAGGAAGTCACAGGGAAGGTGCAGGGAAAAGAGGGTTTCACACCCTCAACCCCTGCATTGTCCCCTACCTTCTTCCCATTTCATTTCACCTCTAGTCTATTCCCTTAAAAACAGTCTCTCTCTTATCTCACACACACACACACACACACACACACACACACACACACACACACATATATAGATCCCATTTGTTTTGTGCAATATGTCACCATTATTTGATGCAAGTAAAATATAGATCTATAAATATACCACTCTGACTCAAGTCCCATTTCAAGTATGATTGCGGAGTCCAGTATGGTAAAGGGAGAGGTTCCCCTGAGAGGGAGGTTGGGGAGAGGTTTGGATCCAGCAGGCAGAGTGTGGTCCTGGCTCGCTGGGAATGTGGAGCAGCAGTAACACGCACACGGAGTCTGCAGTGCACCAGTTCTGCCCTTCAGAGCGGGCTACACTTGGAGCAGATGGGATGCTTGGAGTGGCTGTACAGTGCATGGGGGAAGAGTCCTTCCTCCTCACATTTCACCAGCCCCCCTCCTTCTCTTCCTCTTCCCCGCGGTGTGCTGGAAGCGGGGGGAAAGCGTGTGCGCACACTGGTGGGTGGGCTGACCGCTTCTCCCAGTTCTTCCTCCGTGGCAGCCTGGTCTTCTGCTTCCCTGAAGAACATCCTCCTCTGCCCCATGCATCCCTGTGTTGAAGGGAAGTCACGCTAAAACAGTCCAGAGCATCCTGCCTCCTGGGCTCTGGTGGCCCTGGGTAGACCAGGAGGGATTTTGCCACTGCAGGCCTTGATTAAGGATGTCCGTGCCCACGGGTCGGTAGAGCCGCCTGTCTGGGAGCAGAAGGAGCGAGGAGCCGGCGTGCATTGCTTCCACAGGGATCCCATCACAGCGAGCAGGGGGCTGGGAGATGTCCGACGGCGCTGGGATTCGGATGGAGCAGGTGGGAGAGGTGACGTGCCCTGGCAGGGTCCACCTGCAGAGCTCGCAGGGCTCCGAGCACAGGTTCTAGTGAAACACCCCGTGAAGCTGGGCTGGCTGCCAGCTTCTTTCCTGATGGCAGGGATCACACCATCCACAGGCACTGTGGATGCACGACCTCCGGTGTCATCCTCCTCGCCCAGGAATACCCACTGTGACGGGTTAGAGCAGGTTACCATGGCAATGCGCGCTCTCCCCTGGAGACAGCATTTTATCCCACTTCCAGTGATACAAAATGAGTCCTTATGTTGAGTTCCTTTCATATTTTTTTTTCTCCTCTCACTTTTTTTTTTTTTTTTCCCCCTGTCAGGTCAGAATGAGCTAAGACTAATAGGAGGCACTGCAGTCTGAGGGCTTTAAAACCTGGTTGGGGGAAGTCACCCTACGTGACAGCGGCAGTGTGCACAGCTGTGTGTGGCACGCTGGGGCGCAGCTGCAGGTGTCACTGGACACCTCAGTGGTGGCGAGGGGAGTGCATGTGGGCCCTGCTGCCTTCCTGGGCTCTCCCACACGTGCCACGCTGTGCTCCGACTTCCAGCCTTCACCTCAAGATCCTCCAGAACTCTGCCCACTCCTTTTGGTCACCCCGGCTGCATCACCCTGTTCCACACGCCGTGCTGGCCCCTGTGCCAGCCATGGCAGCTCCTGGGTTGTGTGACTTCTTCCCCTGACACCTTCCCCTAGGCTCACACTACTCAGCAGGGCTTACACTCCTGGTAAGCCACCTCCTCCGCTAGTCTTTCCTGATGACCCACTTCTGATCTGCCAATCAAACATGTCTAAATGGAGGCTTCATATCCTTACCCTCTCCATTTATTAGAGAAGACATAAAATAGATAAGAATGCACCTTCATTTTTTTTTTTTTCATGCTGTGTACTTATTTCCACAGGCTGGTGCTGTAATCTCAATAACTTTTTCTCTCTCCATCCTCTCCTGCCAGTTCCCACTGGCTCTGCACTATGGCTGAGATGTGTTTGTTACTCCTCAGTGGCGTGTGCATGTTTTTTGTCTGAAGCAGAAGGTGATACGCACTAGTATGATGAGGGTAAGGTAAAGTGGCTGGATGTATCCACGGCTGCATGCAGAGGGCAGGTCAGCATGGGCATGAGTGGTGGCTCTGCATGTGCAGGTGGGGTGCCTGGATGCCTGGAACCGGGGCTGGCTCTGTGTGTGCGTGTTGGGATCAGGAGTCAGTGTGTGTGTGTACAGGAGGATGGCTCTGTGCCTGTGCACCTGCAGCAGGTGACACGTGTGTCAGCTCAAAGGTTTGGACTTGGCCAGGAGCAAAAAGAGGGGCACTGTGCTCCCTGGCAGCGTGTTAGGGTGATCCAGGTATCCTTCCACCTCTAAAAGTGAGGAGGGAAGTCTCCCACCGACTGTTGCCCTACCGTAGGGACCTTGCCTCCCTGCTGATGTAATCTTGGCAGCACTGATTTGTAGGGTAGGCAGCAACTTAGTGTCACACAACAGCAGTGACCTAAGGGTGAGGCATGGACACCTGTGGTGTCCTGCTCCCCACGTGGGCTTTCCCACAGCTGCTCTCTGTTTGCAGACAGCTCTTGACAGGATACAGGACGACTCAGGGCCGAAGCTGAGAGGATGACACAGGTTCCCAGAAGGTGCCAGCTGCCTTTGCAGCAGGCATGTGAGGGAAGCTCTGTGCAAGGGCATGAGGCACAGCAAGCACTCGAGGTCTGACTCTACTTTATTTGTCTGGGAAGGCCCAAGGGTGAAAGGGCACAAAATGGGCCTGGGGCAGAGGAAAAGAAATTGAGCCAGGTGCCCTGACCCCCCAGAAGCATGTTGTACTACTTGGGTGAGTGGAGCAATAGCACAGTCTGTCTGGGAAGATGTATTTTGGGAGGACCCCATGCTAGACTGCTCTCAGGTACCTTTTTTCATCGCTGTCCCTTCCTTCCTAGAACGGTTTCACGCCACAGAAGAGATTTGTTTTTGTTCTTCATGTTCGCCTTCTGTGTCCCCCATGAGCGGCTGCCTCTTCTTCAGCTCCCGGTGGTACTTGGCCATGAGGGAGGCGTAGATGCAGCCATAGGCAGCTGCCACCACCATCATGATGCAAACGATGCCACAAACCACGCCCGCAATGATCACAGTGCCAATGGCCCGGCGCACGCTCACAGGCCTGTACCGCTGTTTCTGAGGGCATCCCACACTGGGCTCCACTTCTGTTTCTGGGCCTGATTTAGATTTGGAAGGAGCAGGGCTTCCTTTAGTGCAAGGTGGGCCAGTATTGTCCAGCACTGTGGAGCTGTTCTCGTCATCCAGCTGGGAGCAGTAGTTGAACATCTCCATGGGCACCATTCGCATGTCCTTTCCTTTCAGCTCCTTGGGCAAGGTGCAGGCCAGCTGGTCGATTTTCCCACCTGTTCCAACAGAGATAACAGGAGTCAATCACAGCCCCATCCCCATACAGAGACAGCAGGCTTAGATCCTCAGCTGGGGTGAGTTCATGGGCCTCCATTCACACTGCCCAAGTATTTTCCCTGCGGAAGCTTCAGCCGTGTCAGCTGGCCAGAATGCCTCTGCCTAGGCTGGGTTTGGCACTGAGCTCCTGCTGCCTGGTATCTGCATAGGCCAAGACATGAAAGCCCTCTGAAACCATTTAAGTCAGCCTCATACTGTTTAGTGAGTTATGTAAGTCTCAGCAGAACCACTTTAGAAAAGGAGAAATTAAAGCAAAAAGATAGCACCAGGCTGTACCTTCTCAAAAAAACAACAGATACACATCCCATCTTCTGACAACTAATCCATCTCTGTGAAAATAGTGACAGATGTTGAAACAAATGCTTGAGTGAGTTTGGGCAATTTCCTTGGGAGGGGAGGGAAAAAAAGCAAAGTTATGTCTGCATGCTTTCCACTGACTTTGTGATACGGTAGTCAAGAAAGAAAACAAATCCAAAAAAAAAAAAGTGGAAAGTGGCACTCGTGTGCTTGTTTGATTCTGCTCACACAAATGCATATTTCAGACTGCAGTGTAGCCATAGGCAGAGATAATCTCCCTGCAGCATGGCTGTGATCAGCAGGGATGTGACAGCTGACTGTTGCTATCCGCATGATTTGAGACCCTTTCCTACTCATTGGTTCCACAAACAGAAGGTCAGGCCTTCAATCCTCACTCCTGTAAAATGTGGCATCTTTCTTAGAGCTGCAGCTCCTGAAAGCATGTCATCCCATCAGCATTCCTGCTAAGTGATGTACCTTCCTAGTCTTCTGTGTTTCAAGGAAAATCTGGAAATATGAACTTGTCAAAAACTGCTCAGTTTGAAATGATGATTTCATAGGCAGTCTGACTTGGGGCCTGGCTTGTTAATTTGTGCTGTAGGTTGGGTTCTCCAATATGAGTTGCAGTGTTTTTCCTAAGTGTCACTGTTTCCTAAGGTTCTTTTTTTGGCAGCAAACCTGATGCTTTACAGCCAAATCTGACTTCTAATTCTCTCAACAAGAGAATAGGATGGTTATTTCCAAGTGTGAAATGCATTTCTTCTCTTTAGGCAAAAAGAGTGAGGTGAATTCATAATCCTAAAATTTTAATGTCATTTGAGGAAAGTTCTTTCTCCTCTCAAGACTGAAAAAAACAGGTAATAGTTCAGATTAGGAACAAAACAAGAAAATAGGAGATCTAGGGTTGCTGGGGGTTTCACAGACTGGCAGTGTTTCTAAGTGAAGGTGCAGGGGCACTAAACTGTAGCCTCCTCATGCTCTTTGGCTGAGAGCACTCCTTCAGGTCAGCCTGACCTGCCAGCTCTACCTGCTCCTGTTTCTTCCCTGCCTGCCTTTGCTTGCCTTTCCTGGAAGAGCAGCACTCCTCCAGCTGCCTCCCGCAGCGCGAGCACCTACCTCGGTAGGAGAACCACTCCATCCAGTGCTTGAAGTCTCGGAGGTTGCAGTCGCACTCCCAGGGGTTATCCCCAACCTGGAGCTGCTGCAGGCTGGTTAGAGGCTCAAAGGTCACCCTGTCCAGGCTCTGCAGGCGATTGGACCTGAGGGAGAGGGAGCGGAGAGCGGGCAGGTCGTCGAAGATGCCCGAAGGGATCTGGGCCAAGCCGTTGATGGAGAGGTCCAGCTGGCGCAGCAGGGCCGTGTGCTGCAGCAGGTCCTTGTCCAAGGCCCGGATGCTGTTGTTCCTCAGCTGGAGCTCTGTGAGGTTCCCCAGGTCACTGAAGATGTTCTGAGGGAGCTGGTCCAAGAAGTTGTTGGATAGATCCAGCCTCTGCAGAGCAGAGAGGTTGGAAAACACTGCTCCTGGCAGGATGCTGAGTTTGTTGTTGAGAAAGAGGAAGGTCCTGGTGTTTGTGGGGATGTCTGAGGGAATGGAAGAGAGGCCCAAGCCACTACAGTCCACTTCCAGGTTGCCACTGTTACACTTGCAGGAGGATGGACAAGCAAAGAAGGACTCAGCAGCACACAGTGAGAGCCAGCAGCCAAGCACTGGAAGGTGAAAAGCAGGGAAGGAAGAGGGCATGGATTAGATCAGTGCTTTCCCATCCTCACCCACCACCAACTCCAACACAGCCCTCCCAGCAGGGCTCCTCACTGCAATGCGCTGGCCTGCACCCTGACTTTCCTCTCAGCCTGTTTTTTTATGAGCAAGCAAGTAAATATCCTTCCAGTTTCACACCAAAATCAGGGCAGTGCATCCCAGTGGACTTTGCTGACAGATGCTGGAGCACTGGTCCCTGTCAGAGAAGGATGGAGCAGAGAGAGGTGGGAGGTGTCACCTCTGACAGAGGACAGCTCATTCTAAACAGGTAGAGAGAGGAGGGACCAGGTATATTTAAGAAGTTCCAATTTTTCAGAAACAGATGCGTTATTATAAAGCTTTTAAGAAAAATGAAAATGAAACAACCTGCATTTCAGGTGTGCTCCTGCAGTTTAAATCCTAATATTTGCAATAGATAAGACTCAGATCTAAGACTCTAAATCAGAGCATTGTTTGCTTACCATATTCACAGTGTGTCATATGGGCCCTGTGTCCACTTTTTAATGAATTACATCACATTACAAAGGCATGACCAAGACAACTGCTAAAAAGTAACAACTGGTCACCTGATACATGCTCTCAAAACAGTTTCTAAATCTCATGGCAACAGCCCCAAAAGTATCTCTGAGTGGCCAGTGACCACCCCCATCCAGAGGTGGTAACTGGGTACAGATGCAGCAATTGTTCTTATTAAGAACTTTGGACACATTCTGGATTACAGTCCTACACAAATCATGGTTACCAATTGGGCAGACAACAGACTTGTAAAGAACAGTTTAAACCACTTCTGACCAAAATTGCCCACAACAATGCAACGAGGAAAAGAAGTGGATGTTGGTAACTGACAAAAGCAGTGTCAGGAAATGGGTTACCATACACACACACACACTTTCTTCTATACTATCTCAAAGTTAAGGTTGAACAAACCACAAATCAGCATTTTTTAGAGCTGCTCTGGATTCCAGACATGGGTCCAGATCCTGCCAGTGGTGCCAGGGCAATAGTTACCAACCTTCCCTGGGAGCCAGTGGCTCTTCAAACTCTCATTTTTGTGACAAAGAAGCGTTATCAACAAGAAAGCAAGCTTTGTGCCTCTCATCATTAGAGGAGTGGGAGTTATGTTTAAGCAGACTATGTAAAACATTTGCATCCTTCATCTTAGTTCCTTTTGTGGAATTGAGATTGCACAGCGAATTCCACTATTCTTCAATGTGGGAAGCAAATTCAGCTCCCTCACAGTTTTTAAGGTGACAAGTTTGAGCGTTTGACTAAAACTGAAGCAGGTTTGTCTGTACATCATGCCTGTCCTCTCCCTTTCTCACTTCTCTTCAGAGAAGGCAGTCACTTGGGTTGGGAGAGTCTTTTTAGGGGTGATTGGTAGCTAAAGGGGATGCATTTATTGTCTCCCCTTCCTGAACTGGCAATCAGGTTCTTCCGTCCTGCTTTTCTTCAAGGAACCAACAAGCAGGTGTTTTACTTCTTAATCCTAAAGGAATTGTGAAAAGACTGCCACAAGAGAGGGAGCCAAAGGAGACCCACGCTGTGGAGAAGCTCTGCCTGGAGCAGCTTTGCAATCAGCCATGCTCTTCCTCTCTTCCCTTGTGCCACTCTCTAGAGTTTAACCTGACCCACAACCCATTTTTTTATTGCGACTTTGCTTATAGTGTTGTGCCTTCATATTCCTGCACAGGGTGGGTTTTGTGTTCCCAGAGATCCTTGTGAGAATTGGCAGATCTGTGGACTGGCAGTCTAAGGAGAACTATCCCATTTGAATCCTAAGCTATATGACTTTATTAAGGACCAAAGGATAAATGTTCAGAGATAATATATCAGTTCTCTCTTACTTCATCCATCTTTCCCAATTCCTCAATTATTTTTTACTATCCTGCAATTGAGATCTCAGGTTCACATCAGCCCAGGCCATGCCATCAAATGTGCTCTTTTAAGGGGAATTATGGATCCTTATGGTGAAATGCAAGACAGATCTTTAGCCAGAGCACCTCTGTGCTTTCCTGTCAAGCACAGGCTTGGCCCCACAACAGAAATGGCCATGAAAGTAGATCATAGCCTATGGACTAGTGCAGTGCAGGTACTGACTGGCTGGCTGATATTTAATTCTGTTCAGAATACGTCCCACTCTTGTTGTAGGGAGAGAATTAAAAGAATGGGAGCTAGAGTGGGGAAGGGAAAGAGCCATGAGTCATTCAAGTGACCCCCGTCTTTTCCTGGATGCTTAACAAAAGCCCAGTATTAATAATAGATTGGCAGCTGTGATGATGAGATAACAGCTGCTTTGTACACCGAGAAAGGCAAGAGCAGCCCATGTGTAATGCTATCCAGGTGGCATTCTGCTCAGGGCTTATCTCTCAGAGTGCCTGGCTGCCTGCGGCGCCGACTGGGTGGCTGTGGGGTTCCACCAGTGTGTGTGCTGGCAGTGGCTGGCAGGAACAAAGTCTCAGGCAGCTGGCTGTGGTTATGTTAGGGAAATGGATTTATGCCAAGCTTCTGCAGCCATGTAGGATATGCCAAAAATGTCTTGTTGTTGCCCATACATTGCTGTATGCTTTTGGAAATATTTTAGTAAAATCATACAGAAAAGAGGTTTCGTTTTCCTTTCCCTGCAAGAAGTGCATCCATGAGGATGTGAGCTGAGGCCAGGGAATTCATTGCGTTGGTTAAGATGTAGCTCTACAGGAAAGAGAGGCAGGGAAACAATAGACAGAACTTGAAGCTGTCCTCCAGCCCTGCAGAAGGATGGATAACAAGTGTTTTTGTGTTTGAGGAAGCTCAAGTTGCTTTGTGGGGTGTTTGGTGACTCTAGAAGGTGGCAGAAAGCTGATCCAGGCATATCAGATTAAGTCAAGATTCAGTAGCATTCATTATCAATAATTTACACAGTCTAGTCTGTGAGGATGGATTACAAAGATGTTTGTTTTCTGGAGAAGGAAATACTTCCCCCAGCTTCTTACACCTGCAGCTCCAAACGTGACCAGGAGGACTGGAACAAGGGAAACAAACCACAGACCTACTTGGTGCCTGGGCATGCGGTAGTGAGGGACACTCTCCACATGTCCCTTTTGCTCTGCTGTGGTCCCCAGATGCTTCTCTGAGATGCAGATAAATTCCCAGAAGCCCCTCATCACCCTGCTCTGCACTCAGGGGTACCACAGCAGCTGCCCCAGCCCGCTGGGAATATGCACAGGCTGAACGTTTACAATTTAATTTGAAAGAGAGCTTCTTTATTTACCCTTGATTTTCACTGCATGTGGCAGTGCCCAGTCGGAGAATTCTGCCTTCACATCCTGCATTTCCTTCTAAAATCTGTTATGACTTTTGCTGTGAAGAACTGGGAGCCTTGCTCAGCAGCCTGTGTATAAACCCCAAGCACAGAGAGGAGTCTGCAGCTCACAGGATACTGATCTGAGAAGTGTTTGGGGTGGATCTTTGTGCGATGGTGTCTGTCGTGCTGTTTCTCACCTGCCAGGCCCACTGGAATTCAGAAGCAATCATCACTCGCTGTCCCACTTTAAGCCCATCTTCAGCTTTAGAATATCACTCTCCCTCCCAGCTAGCCTTGGCCTCTAAAGGAATCAGGAATTAGTTCAAACATCTCCATTCTTAGCTGTCCCTCTCCCCTGTTCTTAACCCTGATGCGACCTATTTTCTTCCCTCTCCCTTGGCAAGCAGGAATATTGTAGCTGGTACCTGAGCAGGCATTACTTACGACAAGCCTCCTGCCACCTCATGAGGAACCTGCTCCTCCACCGGTGGCCAGCACTTGTAGGCAGCATTGTGGTCTTCTCCAGCGTGTCTTCACATCCAACAGCCAGCCTGGCACACGGCCCCAGGGGGAGAGGGAATGACCTTGTAGCGTGCCTGCCAGGTCCTGGAGAGGGAAAGCAGAGCAGAGCGGATGAGATTCACTTCCCTGGGTGCAGCACACAGGGCTGAGCTCAGGGCTGTCCTTTCCCCTCCCCAGTTAATGTTCTGCCTTTGAGGCATCAGCTCTGTTTTGGAGGAGAAATGGAGGATATCTCAGGAGGCGCAGTGTGTTGAAGGCGCAACATTAATTCATTTTGAACCTCACGGTGCAGAAATAAAACCTGCTTCACCTAAGTGCCAGAAAGAAGTTTGTGCTTGAATAGCCTGCTGTGGTAGCTACATTGGCCTCATGCTCAAGGTTAACCTGATGAATTGCTAAGGTGACCCTGCCAGGGCAGCAGACTGGGGCTCATTCCTGTCACCTCCACGCAGGCTGGTGCCACCTGTGCATCCTCAGCCTGACGCACGGCTCGGGCTGGCTGAGAGCTGGGCACCAGTGGCTGCCAAGCTGCTTCTCTCCCTCCTCCTCCTCCTCCTCCTCCTCCTCCCCCCAGCTCCATCCCCCCTCTCTACCCCCCCATGCCGTATTCCCTACCAGCACTTCCTGTCAGTTTTAAGGTAAAATGGATGTGGTGGCTGGAGCAGCACAGCTCCAGCTTGGGGATTTCCCACTGCAGCAACTGCAGGAGCTGAAGAGCGAGCGAGCCTCGGAGGAGAGGGAGAAGGAAGGACCTGAGGCGGGGGAGACTGAGTGGGAGTGTTGAAAAGAGAGGAATTGCATCTTAATTAGCAGAAGGAAAAATCCTCAGTCTAATTAGAAATCCAAAGACCATAAACTCTCCCCTGACAATAAGTGACTGACAACAGGTTTCAACTTCCTCCCGCTTCCCTTTTGGATACAAGGAGGCAGGAAAAATGAAAACACCACAAACCCTTCTGTCCCCCTGCGTACTCCCTGACGTGCCACCCACAGTCACAGCAGCAGTCATTAGATGGACACATTTCAACCAGAGTACAGAAATAAGCCGTTCTCCATCCCCTCTGAGGGGCTCTGACAACATCCACGGTGGCTATTTTAGCTGGGTGCTGCACTGCCACCAGGACACTCTCCCCACACACGTGCCAAGTGCCTACCCTCCCCCAGGCTCCCAGACTGATTTATTTTATATGGGAATGTAAACCACCAGGAAATATTAAAATTAGCATCTTGATGAAAATTATCAGCAGGTTCAGTGCCTAGACTAGCACATTTGCAAGGCTATTTAGATCATTTTCCTAAATGCCAATGCACCAAATACCTCTGTTTGGTATAGAGACCCATTCAGCCTTCATCCGCTGCAGCCCCCCACTCCCCAAACCGAGCTGGAGCCCTTCCCCTGCAGCCCCCACTGAAGGAGAAGCTGCAACAAATAGCTGTCCCCATTCGGTGCTTGTGCTCGACCTGACCGAGGAGACTTTCAGCCTCCCCCAGAGAAACGTCTGCATCCTAAATGCCACCACCCCTGGAGTCTCCTGTCCCCGCCTGTCCATCTGGAAAAGGAGGATGAAAAGCTGCAGGCACTTACCTGGAAGGGTTCTGCCTGCAGCCACTTCCACCCGACTCCCCGGACACTGCCCAATTCCAGCCTCTTCCTTCCCTCTCCCTCCTTGACTTTCACTCCCCAGCAGCAGGCTTTCCGTGTGCTCTATTTAACTCCCTCCAGCACTGGAATAAACGGCAGAGTTAAGCTGACAGCCACAGAGCCTTATCTGCCTGCTGGATAGCGCCAGTCGATCAGCTCCAAATCCCGTTGCCAAATGATCACGTCCTTGCTCTCAGCATCAGGGGCAGCAGCCTGCCATGCTCTGCCTTTCCCTCTTCCCCACCTTCACTCCGTCTAACTTTGTCAGGGTTATACATAGCTCTGTTCCTTGTGCTCTTGCCTTTTGGCTCTGTTTTGTAACACCCCATCTGTATCAGCTGGCTTGGTTCCAATTAGGGGGGCTAAGCAATTTTAAAAAAACAGAAAAAAAAAAACCCTAAAAAAGCCCACAACCCCAAGCCCAGCTTCCTTGGGTGCTTTGTGACACGGTGTCCCCTCAGCCCACCCCCCTCTCAGGCCATGCCCTGGTGGCTCTCCCTCCTGTGCGATTCACCCGCGCCATCCCCAGGCAGCGATGGGGGCCAGGGGCAGGGCTGGCACAGCCCGGCCCGAGGATGGGGACAGGGTCAGGGTTTCCACCTCCAGCCCCTTCTGCTCTGGCAGGGCAGGTCCAGCTCTTGCACTCATTCCTGGTACCTCACGGGCGCCTCTTTCCCTCAGGCAGCACCAAGGCTCAGGCAGAGAGTGCAGGGTGGGAGGAGCAGCCATGTATAAATAAGCCTTTTCCCTATGTTTAGAATTTATTACAGTGCATAGTGATTAACACCTGTTCAGGCTTTAATGCTGTCTCCTGCACTGCAACATGCACTGAGATGGAGGGGCCTTGATAAACCCAAGATTATTTTAAAGCATGTCACATACATGCCACACTCCCCACTCCATAGATAGCAGCCACCCTGCCTGCACTCATACACGTGTTTCCAAGACTTAAAAGCAGCTACCTTCATGTACAAATGCACAGAGTCACCGACCCAGCTTACATTTACAAATCTGTGCACGGAGCTGGGCTTGCACATGTGCTGGGGACTCGTCTGTAACTCATCTTTATTAACCTCCCTATCTTCCACAAAGCTGCCTGCTTCTCCAAGCATGCCCAGGTGGCAGAGCAGTAGATTTGGAATAGGTAGAGTTTCATGGCTGCTGAAAGGTGAGGGTCAATGAAGTTCTGCATTTATACCTTGAAGAAGTGTGTTCATGGAGATATTTTAATTCCAAAGATCCAGAAAAAAGAACCAGTTTCTCCTAAGCATCTACTGCCCATAAGAACACTCTACCCTTAGTGATTAATATTCCACAGCCAGGAGAGAGCAAGGAGGCAGAGAGGATTTTTAAGAGGTTTGTTTTTTTTTTAAAGGTTTCCTCTGACTTGTCTTGAATTCTGACTTAATTAGCAGTTTTCTTGGGGCCCAAGAGATGCCTTCTGCTCTGCAGAGCACCGGGCCAGCTGCACTCACTGCCAGTGCAGCACTGGGAATGTGTAATCTTGGGGCAAACAGCACCTGCCTACACCTCCAGCTCTCCAGAGCAGCACCAGATGTGTCTGGCTGCTTTCAGCCTGACAGCCAGGGATTTTTCCAGCATCCAGGACTCTGCCACACCTAGGAGTGCTCCCTCTATGCCCTCAGCTCAACAAGAGAGGCACCGTGCCATCTGTTCTGAGCTTGCCTGGCATTGCTTGGGAGCTCTGAATGCTCTGAAGTCACCCAAGGGCCCCACAAACCAGGCGTTAGTCTTTCTCATGGGCTTTCTAGATGGTTCCTTCTCCCTAGGGCAACATGTCAGCTGAATGCCCTGTGATCCATGGGGCACGGTGGCCAGAGCTTTCTTCCATGTGCTTGGAGTTGAATGCCTTTCCTCATTCTGGAGAGAGCAGGGTCGCCTGTGGGGCTGGTGATGGCCTTTTCCTATTACTGTTTCAAATAGGACATAAAAGAAAACTTTTTTTGTTTCAGCTCAAGGCAACAAAATGAAATCATCTGTTTCTGGCCCATGGGCTCCAGTGGCCAAAAATACACCAAGCTGAAGTGCCACTTGGACATTTGGCCTGCTGTCAGACTCTAGAGGACTCTCTAATGAGGATTCCCCTAATTAGATTGAACAGCGAACCTTACTGCTGGGGGCAGGGTGAGGGAAAGAAGGGGGGGATGCAGAGGAGGTTGTAATGACTCTGCAGCACTTGCCAGGGCCTCAAAACTGCAGCAGGCACTGTTCCTGCCTTGTGCCTGCTCCTCTGTGCCCAGCCCCAGTGATGTTTGTTTGCAGCATCCCCCCAAAAGCTTTTGTGGGGAGGGTACCAAGGAGCACGCTAGGAGAGCAGGGTTTCAGTTTCCTGTATCCACCTGCTGGTTTAGTAACTCTTCCCAATTCTGTGTCACCTCCTATCCAAAGCTTGCCACGTGCTCTATGAATGGCTCTTTCCCTGGCTGTAAGGTGGTGTTATTTTGTGTTTCATGACCCCCAGAAGGAAGGCTGAGGTAAGAGCCAGTAGCATTTCTGCTCTGGGTAGGTGGATAAATCTGTCCCATTCTCCAGGCTAGAGACACAGGTGACTGTGTCACTAGGATGAGACACTGTCAGAAACAGAGCCCAGCAACCTCTGTCTCTGCTTATCTCTCCAAGCCCCTTGCACTAACCCTTGGATCATGGCTGAGGGATCAGACTCTGCTAACAGTCTGGCTTATGAGCACTGGCAGGGCATGTGGGTGACCTATATTACAAAAGGGTAGGTAGCAGAGACTGCAACAGATGCCAGCAATAAATTATCAGAAAGTATGCACAGACTTTCATCCCTCCCCCATTCCCTTGATGGCAAAGTCCCTTTCCCCTTCCCACTGCTGAATTGCTTTAGCCTTTATCAGAAAAGCAGCAGCATGAGGGAGGGCATGGAGGACGCTTTAAGGAGATTATCTTCTTTCCTTCCCCTTTCCTTGCTGCTTTTAGGATTCATGTTGTGTTGCTATCACCCCATAACAGAGGGGGACAGCGGTACCCCAGCATTTAGTGACTAAAGCAGGTTGTTCTATGCATGTCCCTTCACCTGCCCTTGGGGGCCAGTGGCAGCAGAGACACACAATCTGTGTGGCCTGACTACCACAGCACAAGTGGCTTTAGATGGCATGGGGACCTCTCCCATTCCTGGTCCCCCAACAGACCTGCTAGCTGTGCAAATTCTCGATCCCAACAGCTCACGCTGTCTCAGTGGCAGCCCCTCATTTGTCCTCTCTTTGGAATGCAGAGGCACTCAGAGGTGGCAGAGAAGCTCAGCAGAGCTGTAGAAACACCCAGTGCTTGCCACTGCCCCAGTGAGCTTCCAAGCTAAAGAGCTGGGGGCTTCATTTGCAGCACTTGCTGATTTATTAACACGTGTGTTCAAGATTCATTAGTGTTGTGCTGTCACAATCAGTGGAAAGCACATTTTAAA